GCTAACTTTCCCTGATAACCTCCTCTAAGTTTTCCACTTTGACTTTCCACCACATGCTATTCTTACCTCGACAGCACTTTTATTCACTTATGTATTAGCATTTGATCCTTTTCTGAGTCCACCCACTTCCTGTCTGCTTCACAACTGTATTGTAAAGGGCAAGCACAATCCTAGCACAGAGCATGTTAATCTTAAGTGATGGGCAAAGATGATGGGGTAGGTGAGCTACAACATCATGAGGAAAGTGCTGAAGTATACCTATTGTGATAGTTTAAAACTTACACTCTTTATTTCACTCCAACACCAAATGTTCATTCATTCACTAGAAATCATAGAGTGCCTTATTTTATGCCAAGCAACGTGGCAGCTCAGGGACAGAGAGATGCTCCTTGTACTCACGGAGCTTGCAGTTCAATGAGGAGCACAGATAAGTAAACCTAATTCCAATCTTCCAAACCACTCCACTTAGCTTCCAAGATCCTTCAAGATCTGGACCCTTACCTTCTTGTCAGCACCCAGGGTGCACCTAGAATACAGTGAAAGGCAGCTAACCAAGACCAAAGGCTCAGGGAAAGCTTTCTGTGACAGCTTTCATCCAAGTAAGGGTGAGAGGCAAGTGAGACTTGGAGCATATTTCTGTGGGGAGGGAGCCAGGGGGAAGGCACAGAAAGAAGGGATGCTGCAAACCAAGGTGCACACAAACACATAAGGAAGAAAGGTCAAGGTAAGGGCTGGGTATTGTGAGTAGTATAAGATGGCCCCCACGGGTGGAAGAACAAGGCGAAGCCAGAGAGGTAATCACAGAAAACCTTCTACCATGCTAAGGGGTATGGATTTGAAGCTTAAAGTGACAGAGCACGCACTAACGGGCTTTCAGCCAGGAAGAGCCAGGAATGGTTCTAGAGAGATGGTTGGCAGCCTTACAGAGGGTCAGCTTGGTGGTCGGGTCACAGGGTAGAAGATTGTTTTTTTTTTTTTTAGATTTATTTATTCATTTAAGAGAGAGGGAGGGAGGAGGGGCAGAGGGAGAGGCAGAAGGTGAGGGACAGAATCCCCTAGCAGACTCCCCGCTGAGCCCGTTGAAGGGCTCGATCCCAGGCCCAGAGATCATGGCCTGGGCTGAAATCAAGAGTCCGACTGATGCCCTGGAGTAGACTCATTAACCTTTGGAAAAGTCCTGACAGGACGTGAGGTCAGGGTGGCAGCAGGCTGCTGTGTATGGGAGCATGCCATGAAGATTTGAGCAGATAGGAGACAGGAAAAAGAGCGAACAGCTTTCTCAGAGACAGAATTAACGGTACTTGGTGACTATCCGGTTGCGAGGCGTGACAATGAGGGAGCAGTTTAGATGACTCTAGCTTTCACATCTGCAATGGAAATAGCTTACAAGTCCAAAAGAGTAAGAATTACCACTTACGAAGTAACTGTAATAGGCCAGGACCTGTGTGTGCTAAATATAAAATACATTATTTATATAAGATAAATAAGATTTATCTAAGCTACAAGATCTTACGGCATCTACACAACCCCAAAAGTAGCGATCTATTTTACATTTGAGGAACCTAAGACTCAGGAATGTTTGTCACTTGCCCGAGGTCACAAAGCACACGTAGGATTTGAAACTAAATTCTGCCTGCCTTCCTAGCCATCTACTAGAGAATGAAGGAATAGCAAAGATTTTACTGACATTACCCTAGAAGAATAGGCAGAAAAGGCTTCACATGCTGCTCACTTTTTCTCATCTTAAAAATAATCAGGCTCAGTCGGTTAGGCTTCTGCCTTCAGCTCAGGTCATGATCCCAGGGTCCTGGGATCGAGCCCCACGTCGGGCTCCCTGCTCGGTGGGAGCCTGCTTCTCCCTCTCCCACTCCCCCTGCTTGTGTTCCCTCTCTCACTCTCTGTCTGTCCCTCTCTCTCAAATAAATGAATGAAATCTTTAAAAAAAAATAATTAGGGCCACTGTACAGTTGTATTTCAATCCTATATATACTTGTATATTCTTTAAAGATGAGCAAGAAAAGGTGCTGGTAAATTAATAACAACAACAACAATAATAATAAATATGCCAACATAGACAGGTCTCTGCAAACCAGGCACCTTTAGAAAACAAAATATTAACAAGATATATAATCATATATATAATCATATATAGTATGATATACATATACATATATACATAATCATATATAGTATCTTATTTGTACATTGTACATTGGAAACTGAGAGGGGTTTTTTTAGTATTAATTGTAATGACAAGGATCACAGTGATTTTACAAATTATTTATGTAGGCTGTCACATACACTTCTACTATAAATTAGCGGTATTAGTTAATGGACACAGTAAAAGTTTTACCACTCATTTAATATTTTCAGAATGTACCAGAGATTGGAACAAAGCATTAGCCTCATTCTCTTGGCACAGGCTCTATTGGTTTATAACCGTAAATTGCTTTGTACAGAACACATATGTAATGGGAAAGTTCAAAACAAAATAATTATCTTGTTTGTACCAGTCACCACAAAACTAAAACATTTCTAAAACCTAAATTTTCCATTACACCATGATCATACTTAAGGAATAGAGAAGACGTCTGAATATGCTAGAAACTTAAAAAAGAGGCATGAAAATGATACCAAAGGAGTCCTTTAAGACATTTTAATAGTTTTTAAAGCATCTCTCAATTGCCTACTAGACATCACCAGGATATCTTATCATCGTTTCAAATTCATAGTGTCTAATTCACAATGTCTTCTTTTCACTACCAATAAACCTACTTGTATTCTCATTTTCTACCCTTAATTAAAGGCATCATTTATATAGCAATCCTCCCAAATTCAACAACTCTATGTTAGCTTCCTTCTCTCTCTTCTACCTTCCTGTTGGCCACAGCTCTCCAGTCTTTCCCACAAGATCTCTCATGCATTGCTTCCTTCCCTCCCATTACAGATGGTCTGATATGTACCTTTATCATGGTTCCCTTGGACACTGTAACAGTGTCCAACTTGGGCTTCCTGCTAAGTCCATCACTCTTGTCAAATGCATCTAATAGGAAGTTGCCAGAAAAGGCTCCCGTGTAGAATTTAGAATTTTCTTTGAGTAAGTAACAAGCATTTGTGACACAAAAAAAAAATTCAAAATGTATTTAGAATGAAAAGTACATCTCCCTCCCAAGTTTGCCCCTAGCTACCAAGTCTCCCTCCTGAAGGCAAATATCTATCAGCTTCTATGTATCTCTCCAGAGGTATTCTCTGCATATACAACAAATACGTGATCTTTCAAGGTTTAAATGCATGGCTGTGGGCCCATACACACAACTCCCCCTCCCCCCGCCACCCTCGCACAGAGTAACAAACACAGAGTAACATTTTATACATGCACATTGTTCCACATCTGGTTTATCACACTGACTACAACTTGGAGTTCAGTGTGTATTATTATATACAGAGCTGATTCCTTCTTTTTCATGGTTGCATAATATTGTACTATGTGAAATAGTTCATAATTCATTTCAACAAGTCTTTAACTTACACATTTGGGTGATTTCCAATCTCTTGCTATTATAATGGGTAAGTAGCCTTGTATGTATGTCTTGGCACACATAAACAGTACTTTTCACTTCCTCTGTGAATTCTGGATAATGTGGGCAGTGAAGGCTTGACAAACCCAAGGACTTGAAAAACAAAACCAAACCTCTCTTTACAACCTATCCTGTAAAGTGTCTATCTTGGTCATACTGTATTTAACCTCAGGTTAAAATCTTTCAGAAGTTTTTCTGCAGCACTTTGGAGTATAGTTCTGTCAGTCCTTGCTGGTAGGCCTCCTTTTATCCATCCTGAAAAGGCATGTACAACCTAAAACATTTTCACATGAACAACACTTTGCTTGTACAAAATAGCAACTCTAAATTCCTACAAAGATCCCAAAGGGAGAAGGATTAGCCAATCTGTCCTGATAGCTTTTCTTACATTTTGAGCCTAGCAAATAGAGCCCCCTAAGATTTTAGTCCAGCCACAAAAGGACCAATGGGTTCTTGCTTCCTAGAACTTTGGTCTGAGGAAGCTCATAATAACATTAAGAAGTATTTCTCTGGGTTGTACTCTTGGAAAAGATGCTATATCATTAAATGAAAAGATAAACAGGATATACCTACGGAAACAATGTATTTCATTGCTAAAAGCCTGATGTCCAAGTTAGAGAAAAAAAGAATGTAAATTTCAAACTCCACTTATAAATTATCAGCTTTCATAGAATAAAGCCACCTAAACTGCATATAAGTCAATTTTAAGAGGCAAAACAACCACTCAAATTGCATTAATGTGGTATGATTTTAGAGCGCCATGAAATAGTTTAGCCAACATAGACATAAGAAATCCGTGGTTTGCCACGATCAGGCATCGAATAATTAGGAGACCACCGCAATCATTAATCACAGCAAGAATTGTGTTTGTAAGACTTATTGTTGATAAAAAATGATCCGAGTCACAACGTAAAGAGTTCAACTAGAATACAAATATTTATGGGTATGTTATAATCCAACCTCACTGGGGGAAATTAGGAAACTCTGCTCTCTAGCTAAATCTTGAAAATGACACATTTCTCCCAAAGGAAGACTCGAGTTTACAAGTGTCATTCATTCATTCAACAAGACACATTCTTTCATGCAGGTGACAAATTTTTATTGTCTTTCCCCTCTGTGCCAGGTCTCATGTTAGCCCTGGGGATCCAGTGGTGAGGAAGACAGTCTTTTGTGTCTGCAAGGAAATTTCAGTCTCCACAACCTCCCCTCACTCCCTCCCACATACACACGCCATGCAAAGATTTCTCCAACAGCATTCTTAAAGGATGGTCACTTAGCTCTTGCTGTGTGGTATAATGAGACAGTGTGTGTAAAGTGCCCGGCAATCTCTAAACCCACTCCTCCTTGCCTACTCTCAACAAACTCCAAGAGCTGGGAACCCCGAATTCCCCACCAGCTGTGCATAGCTATTAGCCATCCAACCTTGAGAAATTCATTTCAGCATTCTGAGCCCGAGTCCTCTGTTCTTGAAGGCCCCTTCCACTTCACAGGGAATGAAAGGACTAGAGATTTCTAATAATGGACAGAGCCATTACATCACAAGAGGCCTGTTCTATCAGATGACTCAAGTTAGAAAGTTCTCTTTTAAGTAGAGCTAAAATTGTCCCTCTGTGAATTCAGCTGTGAATCTTTGTCCTGCACACTGCAGTAACACAAAACCTGTCGACTGCGTCTCACGCATGATAATCCCTCAAATATTAAAAAGATGTCACATTTCCCCAAATCTTTAAGAATAAAAAGTGGCCTCTTGTGTCAATCCCATGATTTCCCAGACCTTTGTATAATATATTTATTGGTTACCTTCCTCTGTGAGCTCTTTATCAACGTTTTTAGTGAAAATACAGTGCCCAAAATAAAATGTAGTATTCTAAATTGGCAGTAGGACCAGCAAGTGCTAGCTACACACCTGGTAATGCAATACAAGACTCTGTGATTGACCTGGAGGAGAAAAGACAACTGAAACATAACAAACAATTAGAGGAATACTATCTGGACCGTACTCATTTAAAGCTCCACAATAAAGAGGTAGGAGAGCTGAGGGGTCAAGAGTACAGATTGAGGTCAGATGACCCAGATGGGTTCAGATTCTAGTTATTACATGTGTTAGGTGTTAACTTCTCTGTTTCGGATCTCTCATTTATAAAATGGAGAGCAGGACAGTACCTACCTTATAGGACTGACATAAAGAATTGAATGAATTATCGGCATTTAGAAGAGACACAGAATAATTATAATAAATATTATCATCAGAATAGGCAACTTATTTATCTAAAGGATTATTTATTTGGATGATTATCTAAACACCTGTTTTGTGATGTGTATTCACAAATGAGGTGAAAATAACGTTTCATCCCTTCCTTTGTAACTAAGATTGAGATACTAATGGATAAAAGTAAACTGACACTTGGGTTCAAAGGATGTGGTATCTCTCTTAAGAGAGAAGCTGAACTGAATTATAATAACAGAGAGGAAGCTAAGGGAAAAACAAAATAAACAGAAAGTACACATGAAAGAAAGGAGTTCTTAAGAACATCTTCCCCCTCCCATTATAACACAGCCTGCTCATTTCAACTATACCATGAATGTATAATTTTTGGCATTTTATGTGCCGGATGTTCTCTTTATTGGCTTGTTTTTATGTATACTTTTTGAAACTTCATTGGAGGAATCAACTCGAATGCTAATCAACTTTCAGTCGTGTGTGCTGTGGCCAGTGACCCTGAACTAAAATGATTCTGTTCCAGTGCTTGGTTAGCTCTAAAAATAAGTGCTACCACATGGTATCCGTGTTTCACACAACCGAGTAAGCAGCGAGGGTGTGCAGTCACCGTGAGATTCCAAGCACACTCGAAGATCGCTCACTAAAAATGGTAAGGGTAGTTAAATAAACCAAATAAATTACCTCTGTATTTCTCTCTAGTTAAAAAATATGCTTTCTTTACAAACTTCCATAAAAAGTTTTACCAATGTCAATACAATACTTTCTTTAAAAATGATGACTCATGCAATCAGAGAAAGACATGTATCATATGACCTCACTGATATGAGGAATTCTTAACCTCAGGAAACAAACTGAGGGTTGCTGGAGTGGTGGGGGGGGGGAGGGATGGGGTGGCTGGGTGATAGACATTGGGGAGGGTATGTGCTATGGTGAGCGCTGTGAAGTGTGCAAGACTGTTGAATCACAGATCTACACCTCTGAAACAAATAATGCATTATATGTTAAAAAAAAAAAAAGAAGATAGCAGGAGGGGAAGAATGAAGGGGGGGAAATCAGAGGGGGAGACGAACTATGAGAGGCTGTGGACTCTGAAAAACAAACTGAGGGTTCTAGAGGGGAGGGGCTCTGGGAGGATGGGTTAGCCTGGTGGTGGGTATTAAAGAGGGCACGTTCTGCATGGAGCACTGGGTGTTATACGCAAACAATGAATCATGGAACCCTACATCAAAAGCTAATGATGTAATGAATGGTGATTAACATAAAATAATAAAAAATAAATAAATAAAAATAAAAATGATGACTTATGTACTTAAGATTTAGCCTACTCATCATTAAAATTTAAACAGTCATTTGAACAGCACATTTTGAAAGTCTAATGTATACCATGTGACTGTGATGATTCTCGATTCATTAAAAAGCTCTTCGTTAGCATATACAAACAGTGAACAAGGTACGTACGATCGACATTTCATTTATTACAGAAGGGTTGCTTTTCCCAATAACATCTATTCACATGAGATAAAAGTGGAAATAAATCTTCACCACACCTCTGAAAGAGAGGCAGGGTGGAACATTTTCTCAAGATGAAGTTCATCCATATTCTCCTTCAAAACCCCCCAACTTGTTAGGAATTGACAACAGATTGTCACTTGTGAAGGGAGCAGGTGGGACAG